CATAGAATGTTAGGAAATGTTCCCTTTGCTTCTCTTTACTGGAAGTGATTGTAGAGAATTGGTATAATTTCTTCCTTAAATGTTTGGCAGAATTCACCAGTGAAATAATTTGAACGTAGTGATTTTTATTTTGGAAGTTTATTAATTATTGATTCAGTTTCTTTCATAGATATAGGCCTGTTCAGACGATCTATTTCTCCTTGAGTTTTGGACACTGTGTCCTTCAAGGAATTGGTGCATTTCATCTAAGCTATCAAATTATCAGGCAGAGAGTTATTAATAATATTCCTCTCTAATCCTTTTAATGTCCATGAGGTCAGTAGCAATGGCCCCTGTTTCAATTTTGATATTAATAATTTGTATCTTCTCTCTTTTTTTTTTTGGTTAGCCTAGCCAAAGTTTTACCACTTTTTTTTTAAATCTTTTCAAAGATCCAGCTTTTGGTTTAGTGATTTTCTAAGTTCGTGTTTTCAATTTCATTGCTTACTTTGCATTTAATTTGCTCTTTTTCTAGTTTAGAGTATTAACTTTATATCTTTATTTTTTCTAACATGTGCATTTAATGCTATAAATTGCTAAGCACTGCTTTTGCTACATCTCACAGATCTTGATAAGTTGTATTTTCATTTAGTTAAAAATATTTTAGCCCAGCTGGTGTTGCTCAGTGGTTTGAGCGTCGACCCATGAATCAGGTCTAGGTCAGGCCACATGTCTGGGTTGCGGGCTTAGTCCCCAGTAAGGGGTGTGCAGGAGGCAGCCAATTAATGTTTCTCTCTCATATCAGTGTTTCTGTCTCTCTATCCCTCTCCCTTCCTTCTTCTCTCTAAAATCAATAAAAACATATTTTTAAAAAAGAAAGAACTCTTGTGTTTAAAAATATATATATATTTAAATATCTCTTGAGATGTCTTTTTAAGCTGTGTCTTATTTGGAAGTGTGTTGTTTAATCTCAAATATTTTGAGATTTTTCTAGCTATCTTTCTGTTGATTTCTAATTTAATTCCACTGTGGTTTGAGAGCATGTTTTTTATGATTTCTGTTTTTTCAATTTGTTAAGGTGTGTTTTTATGGTGCAGGATGTTGTCTATTCTGGTGAATATTCCATGTGAGCTTGAAAAAAACGGGTGAAGTTCAAAATGGGTTTCACCAGGCTCAAACCAGGGTGTCTGCAGGGCTGCACTTCTCTTCGGAGGTGCTAGGGGAGAATCGTTTCCTTGCCTTGTTCATTCTCTAGAGGCCACCTTATTCCTTGGCTGGTAGCTCCTTCCTCCATCTTTAAAGCTCATCACTCCACCTCTATTTCTGTGGTCACATTTCCTTTTTTTTTTCTTTTTTCTTTTTCTCTGACCCTCCTGCATTCCTGTTTATCAGGATTCTTGGGATTACATTTTTCCCACCTGGATATTCCAAGATAATCTCCCCATCTCAAAATCCTTAATGTAAGCATATCTGCAAAGTCCCTTATACCATGTAAGGTAACATAGTCATGGGTTGCAGAGTTTAGGATACGGACGTCTTGGGTATGGGGGTAGAGGGCATTATTCAGCCTACCGAAGTAGTGGAGTCAGGATTTGAACTCAATAAGCCTGCTCATGGAACCACTTCTCTGCTCTTTCCAGCTTCCACACCACCTTCTACATCTAAATGTCTCCTTTAAGCTTTGTTTTGATTGTCTGTATTTACCTTTCCAACTACGATGGTCATAGGATCAAGGAAATTATATGGAATGATGAGGTATCAACAATAGACAAAATAACTGTTCTTGTTTCCCCAGCTTTTGAAGACTGTGTGCATGTCTCGCTTTTGTAGTTAAGCACTTTCCTCCTAATACTAATATAAATTAAATTATAAAATAAATATTGATAAGTATATGCATATATGTTTAAAGATCATAGCCTCCTGTGGCTAGTTGGCTACTGTATTAGATAGCACAGCTCTGTGACCTCTAACGTTCCATCAGACTGCTCTTTACAGCTCTGTAATGCTAATGCTAAAGAAAGTTAATCTGAAATGAAAATTCTAACAAATCATGTGGCCTTAATTTTTGGTTTCTCTATTTGTGATATCAGAGTTAAGGCCTAAAATAATACACATTTTAGAGGCGTTTTATGTCATTACAGGTATTTTAGATAGAACAAACTTGCCATTGAGTTTGTTTGGCCAGATACTCTTCTTCCAGTCACCAGCAGCATAATTAATAGTAAAAAGCCTTGGTAGTTTATTTTATCATATTCCTTTATTGCTAGAAGTACTTTGTGAGAATTTAACTATTAATGCAGGCTGCTATAATAAAGGACCGTGTGAAACCACGTTTGGGTAGTGTTTTTATTATAATGGCAAATTTAACTACATTTTTTTGCAGTTTATGTGAACCCCACCCAAACTTTAACCTGTTTCCCATTTTGATGAGGTTCAATCAGGGGGAAAAGCAACAGAAAAATAATCTTCCTGTGTGGCCTGTAGATATAAAATCTGAAGATTAGAATGCATTTCCAGCTAGGAATCGTAAGCAAACAAACTCTTCTACAGATAACTACACCCTTCCTGTTTGGGACTGAGTTTACTGTGGAACAGATTTCGGAAATAGGTTTCTGACAGTGGTGAATTTATTTATAAAATGTTGGAGGGTGTGGTACTTCCTTTAACAAAAAACTAATTATTTCCTGTCTAATGCCCTACTAGTGCATTTTAAGCAGTCTTTTTAGAGAAATTACCCTTTAGTAGAGAAATACATTGCTTCAGGCAGTTCTGATTGTTCTTGTCAGCTAATGTACAAAATTTGTCTATTTCAGTGATTAATTCAAAAAGGACTTAAAATTAAAAAATAAAACACTATCTTTAAATACCTGTATTACCTTGTCTCCAGAGTGATAGTAGTTTACAGTTTAAATAAGTGTATGAAAACATTTTAATATGATTTTACTTTTGATATGCAAATCTATAGCACATTTATGTTCTGGAAATATGCTAAACAAAGAGTTATAGTTTAGGTAAAACAGCAGATTTACATTAAAGAATTTGCAGGTTAACTCACAGTGTAACATTATCCTCATCTAGTACATCTGTTATAAAGAAGCCTATAAAATTTAGGCCACCCACAAAGTGGTCTGCTGAGGCCTGTGGTTGGCGTTACAATGCTGTTATTATGTGGGCTGACTGGTCTGGTAAGGAATTTACCTCCACTAAAACTGAAACATCATGGTTCTGACTTTCCCCCATGGGGGCTGCATTGGCTTGACTTGGGTACTATGTGTTTGTTAGACCAGTTAATGTGCTCTGTTGCCTTGACATCATATATAATATGTTTTCGTTCCTTTTTTTTTTTAAAAATCCTCACCTGAGGATATTTTTTCCATTGCTTTTCAGAGAGAATGGAAGGGAGAGAGAGACACAGAGACATCAATGTGAGAGAGACGCATCTATTGGTTGCCTCCTGCACGTGCCCCAACCGGGTCGGGGATCAAGCCTGCAACTGAGATATGTGCCCTTGGCTGGAATCGAACCCGAGACCCTTCAGTCCATGGGCTGATGCTCTAACCGCTGAGCCAAACTGGCCGGGGGCGAATGGTATACTGTTTTCTGTGTTGGTTTATTAGGGTAATATTATCAATATTATTAATATGTAAATCTTAGGATAAACTGGAATAAATGGTTGATTTAAACAGCTGAATTAAAATTATTTGCTATTATAAGTAAATTTGGTCATCATTTAGCAAACGTGTGTGTGCGAGTACATACGCTAAGGTAAAGAAGGTAGCTAAGGGCTTTATATATTTTAATTTCTCTATCATTTGAAGAACTTATCCTTTTAATTTCCTTGAGGCTTATCAATGGTTTTTAAGAGCAAGGACAGGAATTTAGTATAATTTAGCAACCTATTAGAGTCAAAATTAAATATTATTCTTTTATAGCAAATATTGCAGACATTTAAAAAATACAGCAGCAACCACCACATCTAGCAGTGATCATTTGAGGAGTAAACACTATCACAAGCCAAGCAATATCTCAGTTTACATTTTCCTAAAGTTTTCTAAACAAAATCCTTTTTCAGAGAATAAACATGTTATGGTAATTGTTTTTGTTAAATTTTTAAAAGTCAAAATTAATAGTTCTTTCAAATAAGATAATTTGTATTTCACTTAATTTTCATGGAGATTTATCAGTAATTTTTCTTCAAATACATGAATTACAAAGTATGAAAAATAGCATAGAAATCTAAAATTCATTTTGTGACTACAAATTAAAGAAATGTCATTTCCTTAGTAGTAGAGGAGACAGCAATTTTTAGACAGAAAATAACATCTAATTGCCACTAATAAAAATTATATATACATATTATAATAAAATATAAACTGAGGTAGAAAATATATACACGTGTATATATGTAATGTGTGTGGATTTATATATACATGTGTGCGCACACATGCACAACCATGTGCTTGTGTAACATTGTCTTGATCTTAACTCTGCCTTGGTGACTTTATAGTTAAATCTTTATAACTTGAAAAGTATTTTCAAATAGACACTTTTGGCATTCTTATAGTTGTTTGTTGTATACTAAACAGAATTTTGAATTTGTCATCTGATCATGGTTCAAACAAATAGTTTGAAGTAAGGGGCTCAGAAGCTTTTTTCCTCCGAACAAGTAAATGAGTAAAGCCATTAATGTGCCTCACTCCGCTAGTCTTCGTTTCTAGTTCTTCTCACCTCTAGTCTTATGTCCTTTTTGTAGATGCGGTATGCTGACGAATGTCATGCCTAACTTCTATGGTCAGTGATGGGGTGTAGCAGTATTTTTCTACTCATTGAAGTTGTCAGCAAACCCCAGAGATAGAGGTTTAAGTGGCCTTTGGCAATAGTGACTACTCAGGGCCCACAGGGTTCAGCTGTATTACTGTGTCTCCCTTTTAAACTTCAGCATCATAGTTCTGCTAACTGAAGCATCTCAATCTTTAATTGTTTTCACTTTTAGCTAATCGCATTGTATTTCATCTTTCTAGGTTTACCGACAAGACTGTGAAACTTTCGGAATGGTTGTGAAAATGCTGATTGAAAAAGATCCTTCATTAGAAAAGTCCATCCAGTTTGCACTGAGGCAGAATTTACATGAAATAGGAGAGCGGTGTGTGGAAGAGCTCAAGCGTTTCATTGCAGAGTATGACCGCTCTTCTCAAGATTTCGGAGAGCCTTTTTAGAAATTTCTTGCTCAAGCAGAAAAAACGGTACTAGATTCCCCCCCCAGGATTGTGTAAATCCTTAGTATATGGATTTTTGTGATGCAGAGAAGTACTTTATGATAGTTGACCACTGTTCCAATATCAAATAAACATCTAAAATAGTCTTGATATTTTAATTAGAATTTATCTACATGTAGAGCCTCCTAATCCATTACTTATCTTTTTCCCCCTCTAAAATGATGGGTCAAGTAATGTTTCAAGTCCTGGAGAAAAGCTTTCTGTTCGTATTCATATTCTGTAGTCTTCCATAGTATGTGATCATTTGTTCGGTCACACTAGTGTTATTTTTAGAGATCATTCCACTTAAAAATTTATAATCTTTTTGCATTTCATAGTCAATGATACCATGTGAAAGTGTTAGAATTCTAAGTTGTTGTCTTATTGACTTGTTGCTTGCTTATCTTAGGCTTTATAAGTTTTAATATGTTTAAGTATAGATCCAAATAAACTGAATACCTTGGTATCTTAGAGAAAGTTTGCTTTGAGTATAAATTCTCATTGTGGTAACTAGAGCACTTAAATCTCCTAAAAGACACCTCACAATAAAATCCTGTTTTCCAAGTAAATGAACCTAAATTAATATCTTCTATTAAAATAATCCTGTAATTCTTGTGTGTGTTAAACAATACCACATATAGGTAATTTGAGGGGAAAGATGAGGGCTATTTTAAAGCTGCGATTTCTTTTAAAATTTCTAATTGAAAGAAAAATTTAGAATCTGAGGGAGTAGTAGAGTTTCATTTTTTCCATTGGCCTATATTCCCCCTCTCAAGAAAGATGACTGATAACACATCCATGATTAAACCATTTACTGATTGTGCCTTTGTTAATCTCTTTCTGGTCTAACAAGTTCTTTGTTCTACTGCCCTTCTAGGGTTCTTAGCCCATCAAAAGTGTTCTTGGAAGAAACAAAGCACAGTAGGTAGTAAGCTTAGCACGGCTACCTTTCACCAAGCAGTCTGTGTAAACCATCCTTCATGAGCTAGCCATCCAAATAATAGGTTAGTTAAAAATCTAACGGGTGATTAGGATATTCCACTCATTTCCTGGTCACTTCCAGCTGCCCAGTGGCATTTAGCCAAAATATATAATTTTGTGGCATTAGTTAGGAAACCTTAAAAAATTATGTTTGTTATTACTGTCCAGTGTCCTTATCCCCCATCCTCTTGCCGTTTCCACTCTCTTCTCACTTGAGCTCTGGCCTCATTTTTGGTGGCCTTTATTGATATTATCTTAATAGCTACCCCAGAGTAGATAAAAATTTTATTAAATGTGGAAATAGCAGTATAAACAATTTTAGCAGATCCTATAATAGGTACCAAAATATGTATTATGCCATTCCACAAATTTAAAATTGAATTGAAAGCAACAATTATTTTCTTAAGTTTTCTATTTAAGACCACTTTGAATTTCTTTGTCATTTAGATGTTGTACATAAGTCGAAACTCAACCCTATGTATCATCTCTGGTATTCTTCCTCAACATGAACAATGATTTTGTTTGTTACAACCACCTTGGAAAAGACTGCTTTTGTTTCTCCCCTGTTCCCATGTTTTTCTCCTTATATGTTCTAGTTCCAGGATCCATTTTCTTTAGTCAAGATGTCACAGATTAAAAGAAAACAAAAAACTTGAGAAACTACTACAAAAGAGTTGTTCACTATTTTGAAGTTCACGAAATCATAGAACTTTTACTCACAGATGCATTTAAATGTAGATTCAACAGATAATATTTTCTTCTCCTCTTCCCCCAAATTACACTCAACATTTAAAGCTGTTTATAATAAGCTTGCCACCAGCATTATTCTGGTAGGCTTGTCAGTGTTAAATCTGTCTGTGTGTGATTTTTTTTTTAAGCTTTAAAGTCTAATTTTAGGATAGATTGATTCAGATGTGTACCAGAGTGTGTATTTAGCAAAATGTTCTTTGTTTAAAAAAATTTGTTTGTAAATTATCCATTGTTTTTGAGTATGCCCAATTGATGTGATAAAGTTTTCATTGTCTCATAAAGCCTTGATGATCAAAAGGGGAAAGCAGATATTGTGAAGCTTTTTGTGAATTTTAAAAGTGCAAAATAAAGCAACCAGGTTTAAATAATTAGATCGTCTTTTTTCTCTTTAACAGGCTTAAAGTGTTTTGCTGAAATGTAGATTTTTATTCCTTTCCACTGCAAGATTATTCCTTAGTGTTCAGTTCACCTACTCAGCAGGATGGAGGAAGTTTGAGAATTGAGAAACTATTACCTTTGTGTCGTAGGGAGTCTTGATATCTGAGAAAGCAGTTAAACATAAGATCGAGCACACAGTAGTGCTCAGTAAGTGTGTAATTATGAGCCTACATTTCAGAGAATTGCAGGATTAAAATCCTACATCTCTGTAGTAACCTTTGGAGGGCTCAGGAACCATGTTGTCTTTGTGACCCCAGTTCGTAGCATAGTTTAGAATGTTTTAGGGACTCTGATATGTTGAAGCTTCACAAAGGAAGTGAAATTTGACCCCTGGGTCTTGGAGGAATAGGATTTATTCAAGCAGAGAAAGGGAAGTAGAAGTCTAGGAGGAAGAAGCAGTACAGGGACAAGCTGGTTGGGGATTTGGTAGGGGACGAATGTAGAAAAGGATAGATTGACAGCAGAATGTGAAGGATTTCGAATACTTACAACTTTATCCTTTCTCTCCTCTTCTTTTTAAATTTATCTTTATTGTTGAAAGTATTACAGGTGTCCCAATTTCCCCCCC